ACATATAAATATATGTATAGAGAAAAAGAGAGAAAGAGAGTTCCTAGTAATATTCAAAATTTATTCAGTTGCCGATTGTCAATCTTGCAACCGCTGATGCAAATCGATTTTATATTATATATATGCATATATATATATTTTATTGAAAGGAAATTGTTCTACATGACTATCAGTTTATTCATCTTGCATTTTCAATTTTAAACAATATTTCAAAACAAAACGGAAATTGTTTATACCTAATATATAAAACATAAATTATTTTTTATTAAAAAAAAATGTTTCTTTTAATTTTTTAAGTACAATATTATTAAAAAATTGGCAAAGAGAAAAAATTTAATTGAATTATTATTTATTTACAAGTATATAAATAATTTATATATTTTATGTTATTAGTTATTATTTCGTAAAATAATATATTGTTTATTTATTTATTTAAATTATAATTATAATAATAATAATAGAATAAAAGTTGAAGTATTGAAATTATTGTCATATGCAAAATAGATTATTAATTTATTAATAATTTATTTATTTTATTTATTATATATATAATAAATAAAATATATAATAATATAAATAATAATAATAATATAATAATATAATAATATAATATAATAATAATAATAATATAATATAATATAATAATATATATAATAATATATTATATATTATAATATATATATATATTTATTATATATTTATTATATTTTTTTATTTATTTTTTTTATTTATTTTTTTTTTATTTATTTATTAATTTTTCTCTTATTTTCTCTCTGAAATGTCAAAACATCAGAGTGAAAAATTGTAAATGAAAAATAAATATACAGAAGATTAAAAAAATATAAATAAAAAGTGTGGATTTCAAAAAATAAAAGCACACAGCTATATTTAAAAAGATAAAATTAAATGATAAATTTAAATAATAAAATAATTATTGTAATTCTTTTTACCATTGTTAACAATAAAAAATAATTATTATAATTATTTTTACTATTATTTACAATAAAAAAAATCACAACTTTTTTATACTATTATTTACAATAAAAAGATTACAATTGTTTTTACTATTATTTACAATAATAATTTACCATTGATAAAAGTTTCTAAATAATAATAATTTACTTTTGATCGAATTTTTTCTATACAAAGAAAATTATCTTCAATAGAATTTTTGAAAAATAATAATTTACTTTTGATAAAAATATTTCGCAATAAAAAATATATCGTTAAAAAAATACATTTCTTTATTTTTTTGACAAGATAAATGTTTTCCTCTTTGTTGAATCGAATATATATTGTATATATGTGTGCATGTGTACTTTTGTGCATTTGTAGTAAAAGAAGAGAGTAAACGACAAAAGGAGTTGAGTTTAGACAATTTTAAAACGAAAAATTCTCAAATAAAATGTATAAGAAAATAAAGGAAAGGAAAATAGAATGTTACCAACCACTTTGCCTTTCTTTCCTTCCTTCCTTCCTTCCTTCTTTTTAAAAACCTCCTCTCTCTACATCCTTTTTACACATTCCAAAACATACCGTGAAATTTAAAAAATAAAAACAAAAAAAAATAAATAAAATAGTAGGCAGTGCAAACAAAAAAAAAATATAAAAATATTTTCTCTGTCCACCTGACACCATGTTTTCAAAGGAGGAATTGCGTGAAAAAAAATTTAATATAATTTTTTCTCTCTCACTCACTCACTCTCTCTTTTTTTTTAAAGTCTCCGTCTCTGTTTTATGATGACGGTAATTGTTCAGTTTTGTCGCATATGTATTTTCATTTTATTTTTTTTCTGTAAATTTCACCTTTGAAAAGTTTGTCACTTGGACAGGCGACATCTTCTCTGCATTTCTATTTTTTTTCACTCTTTTTTTCATGTTTTTTTTACAATTTTTCACTCGGATGTTTTGATGTTTGTACGGAGGAAAGCAGTGAAAGAAGAGAAAGAGACAAATTTCCTTGTTTTTCTAATATTTTCATTTTTTTAAATGTGTATATATAGCACTTCGAATTTTTTTTTTTTGAAAAAAAAGAAGAAAAATGTAGTCACAGCTACTTATTATAATAATTCTTTCGAGGAAATTTATTAATTACTGCTGTTATTATTACTACTGCTATTTTTTAATTTTTTTTTTTTATTTACAAAAATAAATTGGACATTTATTACTATTTTATTATTATTTTTTTTGCAAAATAATTATAATTTATAATATTTTTCAATGTTATTATTATTTTTTTTTACTTTTTTAGGTATTATGTTACACATTATTATTATTATAATTTAAAAATTGGTATAAATTTCAATATTAAAATAGTTACAATAATAGTATTTCAATATTATTCACAAACAATTGTCAATAATATTATAAATAAATATTATTATTATTATTAATTAAAAATACACTAAAAACATTTATTTCATCAAAATAAATGATTTCTTGTTTATTTTCAAGTAAATATTTATTTATATCAGATAATTTTCATTGAATTCAGATAAATGGTATTTTATTCAAATACTAAAGTTATTGGTTCAAATATACAATTTATTTTGATTTTAATGAATATGTTTTATATTAAAGTACTGCTTTTATTAATTAATAAAATTTTGTTGTTATAAATTTAAATTATTAAGTATATATATATTAATAAATATTTACTTTATTTAAATAATTTTTAATTAATTCGAACTTTGTAAATTTGAATGAGTAAAAATGCTTACGAATTTGAAATGATGACTGACTTTTTGCTTTTGAATTAGTAAATTTTACTAATAAAAAAGTAGAAATTTCTATTTATTAGTAAAATTTTCTATAATAAATGAAATATATTAAATAAATTAAAATAAGTAGAAATAACTATTTAAAATATTTACTAATTTAATAGCAAAGAGTCAGTCACTAATTCAAATTAGTAAACATTTTTACTCATTCAAATTTTCACTTATTTAGCTAATTTTTGTTATTAGTTTATTAGTTTTTAGTTGTTTTGAAAACTAAAAGTTTTTTAATTTTCAAATACAGAGAATAAATCATATTTGAACTATAATAATTTCAATATTCGAAGCAAATACAATTTAATTGACTCAAATAAAAATTACTCGATACAAGTAAATATTTATTTGAATTAAATAAACTTTTTTTCTATAACTAAAAAGAAATAATAATAATAAAATAGATTTTCTATTATTGTCTCGAAAAAAATAGTAAAAATAGTAAAAAACAAAATTTCCCACTTTGTATGACTTTAATAATAGAAAAACTATTTTTAAAAATGAAATTTTTTCAAGTATTTTGAAATTCACAATTAACTTTGAATTTTTAATTAATTTCGTGACGCGCTATTATAAAATGCGAGGAATGTGAAATCTTGTATGTATATGTATATGTATATATAGAAAGAGAGAGAGAGAGAGAGAGAGAGAGAGAAAGAGAGAATGCGATAGTTGTGTAAACAACCGGGAAATAAATTATTATTTCCGGGGTACAGTAGGAGATAGTGGAGTTCGCGTCGCGCATTTAGCCCGGTAATTGAATGAAACTGAGCGGACAAAAATTCCGTGCACAAATAGTATTTTGTTTACTTCGAAACACGAAAGAGATACACATATATACATATACATCAACATAGAAACTGTATTCTAGCAAAAATCCTTTTATTTATTTTTTGAAATGTAACCAACACTATAGAATATAAATCGCTGCGGGTGGTCACTCACTGTGTGATCTATATTATTTTCCTCTCTTCCCCCTCTTGTTTTAAACTCAACATCACAAATTGCTTCTCACAAATTTGTCTGCATGAAAAAAAAATACATTTAAAAAAAAGGAGAGAGGCGAAAAGAATTTTTTGTTTATGGAAAAAGGAAATGAAACATTTTTTTGCGTATGGATAAAAAAGAGAGAGAGAGAGAAGAAAGAATTTTTTGTTTATGGAAAAAGGAAACGAAACATTTTTTTGCTTATGGAAAAAGGAGAGAGAGAGAGAGAGAGAGAGAAACGAAAAAAATTGTTTTTGGAAAAAGGAGAGAGAGAGAGAGACTAAAGCGAAACAATTTTTTGGTTTTGAAAAAAGAAGAGAAAGAGAGACGAAAAAGAAACATTTTATTTGAGAGAGAGAGGGACAAAAATAGGAAAAGGAAAGGGAAACAATAACAATTTTTTTGCTTGTAGAAAAAGGAGAGAAGGAGGCAAAAGCAAAACAATTTTTTTCTCAAGGAAAAAGAAGAGTCAAAATTTTTTTCGACAATCAAAAAATGTTTGACTCTTTTCTTTTTCCAAAAAAAACTGTTTTGCTTATGCAAAGAGAGAGAGAGACAAAAATAACAATTTTTTGCTTGTAGAAAAAGGCGAAGACAAAACAATTTTTTACTAATGGAAAATGGAAAGAGAGACGAAAGTAAAACGAAAAAGGAATAAAGAGAGAGAGAGAAAAGCAATATATTTTTTTGTTTAATAAAAAGGAAAGGAAGACAAAATCAAAACATTTTTTTTTGAAAAACAAACATTTTTCATAGTAAAAGCGAGAGACAAACAAACATTTTATTGCTTTTATAGTGAAAGAGGGGAAAAAAATGCGTGTGTGTAAAAATAATGTGCGAGGATAAAAAAAATCAGAGCATTAAAAAAAGGGGGGAAAAAAGCCTCTAAATCGCTCGCGATATTTATTATCCATTATTTTTGCACAACATTGTAACTCGCGCCCGGTTTACCTGTCGGAAAAGTCGGGTTAACCGAATTGCGCACGATTATTCATCGGCCGATGTGGAAAGAGTGGGGGGGGGGGCAGTGAGTTGGCCGAACAATCGAAGGATCATGTTTAAAAAAGTCACTTCTTTCCCATTCTCTCTCCCTTTTTTTCTTCTCTCTCTCTATTGTAAACGCATTTATCTTGTATTCGAAAGCACCATTTTTCTGTTTCACTTGTTTTTTTTTTTGCACAAAAATACAAATTTTCATTACATTTTTTGCGTAATGTTTATTTAAGCAAAAATTTATTTTACCTCGTCTGCCAAATGGAGCATTATAGTCGCGTGCCAAAATCCGCACGAGACATTACACACGTTTTTTTTAACCACTTGTAAATTCACTTATTTTGAAAAGGAAAAATGGGGGGTTTTTTTTTTTGAAAATTTTTTTTTTTGTGAAATATAAATTTGGTGAAGTTTTTTTTTTTTGTTTTGGTTTTTATGAATTAGTTAGTATGTAGCTTCCCTTTGGAGGAGAGACGCATTCCCGGGCGTCGAGACGCGTGTACTGATGTGTCAGTTGATCGCGACGGTGAGCGTCGGGACGCCCTACTATAGAAATTGCTCGTCCCGCGCAGGTCCTGGATGTTCCGTTTCTCCGGTGCTGGATATAATTTTCCATTTATTATCTCTGTTTCGTGATGCATGTGTACCCACCTCGTCGGCGCAAATACGTGCCACAAGACGAGATGTAACACCTGATAAAAGATTATCGAATTATTGCTAGAGAGTGAGTGAGAGAAAGAGAGAGAGAGAGAGAGAGAGAGAGAGATGGAGAGAGAGAGAGAGAGAGAGGGAGGGGGGGGGGAGTGATATCCCTGTACCGGATGTTGCACATCTTGTCTAGATCAAAGGTGCCGAGCACGCACATCTACCCGGGATTTACTGGCTTTTCTCAAACGGATTTCTTTATTCCCCCTTGAAAAAAGAATCCCACCTGAAAATTCGCTTTTTCATTATATTTCACTCGTTCTTTCAGCAGACAATATTTTCTTATCCTTTTTACCGCACACTTGGTTTTTTATATCTGATTTCTTTCTCTTTTTTTTGAGTCCTTGAATATATTTATTTTTATCTTGCAAAAAAAAATATCTGAAAAGAAAGAAAATGGAAATTTTAAATTTTTAGCGAGAAAATTTCTTAATAATATATTTTGGAGTGGAAATTTGAATTTAATGAATTGAAAAAAAATGTTCTTTAACGCTTGGTGTTAAGCTTTTTTAGTTAAAGGTTTGTTTTTTTGGAAATTTCGAGCAAAGAGTATTTTTAAATTGGATTTTAAATTGAATTTTAGTAAACGGCTTAAGTCCGAGAGTGGGGGCAATGAGAGCGAGAGAGAGGGACTGGGACTTCTTTCTTACTCTCATTGTGACGAGCCTTAAACCTGATTGAAAACTTTTTAAATTTTTAGAAAATAAAGGAAAAAATTTTACTCAAAGAAAAGTTCTGTTACATTTATTTACGAATTTCTTTTAAATTATTCAAAAAAAAAATAATTTTTTTTTAAATAAATATTTAATTATTATTATTTTTCCATAGGAATTAAGATTTTTTTAAATTTCAAATTCAAACATTTTTGAAATTAAAGAATTTATAAAAAATTGTTATAAAACATGAAGAAATCGATCACTCCGAGTCTACGACTCGGAGCAATCGATATCTTCGTGTTTTATAATAATTAAAGATTACCGAGTGATAAAATCATTATTTTATATTAAAAGAAAATTGTTACTGTAGGTAACTTCTTCAAAATTATTTTCATCATTTGAATTTAATTATTATTTTCTAGAAGTTTTAATTATATTTTATGAAAATAATGGAATTATTGCGAAGAAATTAATAAAAAAAAATTTGTAAATAATTGAATTCCTGTGAAAATTTTTATTATTTATGAAAATAATTAAATGTTTCCGTACAATTTTATTGAATTTTTTTTAAATAATAAACAAATAATAGAAAAAATAAATTTTTCAGTAAATAATAATCAAAACGATTATTCGATTCATTTTGAGTATTTTTTAGCTTTAAAAACTAATTAATATGATTAAAAATTATTTTTGTTTCTCATGGCAAATAAAAAAAATGCAAATAAAATATTTGTCGAAACGTTAAAATTGCAGAGTCGCCACAGGTCAGGGAAATCAGGGGATTCGGGGAAAAGTCAGGGGAAGTAAAATTGGTCAGGGAAATCAGAGATTTTTATTAAAAGTACTGGAAAAAATTAAATTTTTGAAATTCATAAGAAAATTCTGAATTTTTAGGAATTTAAAAAAAATTCTTTGCAAAATTTCATGTATTGTTATAAATAAAAAATTTTCACTGAAATTCAATTATTAAAAAAGATATTTTATAAAATTCTTGACAAGAATTCAATTATTAAAAAAAATTTAATAACTTTTAACTTTTTTTCTCAAGTGTTCTATTCTTTTTATAAATAATAAAATTTAATTTAGAAATTCAATTATTTTCTCAACAGAATTTTAAATATTTTTAATAAATTCATCGAAAAATGCAGTTATTCTTAAAAATTTTATTGAAACTCAACGAAAGAATTTTTTTAAATTATTTTAAATTTTGAAATTAATTTTAATTTCGTTTATTTTAACATTTAAAATTTTAGGAAAATCTATTATTAAGTCAAATATTAAAATAATAAAAACACAATTCAGGGTTGCCACAAAAATTTAACTTTGCTTTTTCCCTGATTTTTCCCTGATTTCCAGACAGAATTTTCACCTTTTCCCTGACACTAAAGAATATTCTGATTCACTCTAAAAATGATTAGTAACTCAAAAAAATGTTCGAATATTTGCGAATTTCTTCAATTATTGTAAAATTATTCGAAAACAATTGTTTTATTTATCATTATTAATTTTCATTAGAAATTAAAATTCTTCAAAAAATTCAAATTAAAAAATAATTAACGATAATAACCCAGGGATAAAATTATTATTCTACATAAGAATATTGTTACTTCTAACTTCTTCCAAATTATTTTCATCATTTAAATTCAATTATTATTTTCTTGAATTTTTAACTAAAATTCTTCTTTAAATCAATTATTATTTAAAACAACGAAAAATTTACATTTCCAAAGATTTCAATTTGAAACCTTTTTAAAATTTAATTATTTCTAAAAATCTTTGCTATAATGATTTTAATATTAAATTATTATCTAAAATTTTAACCAAAATTAATTTTTAAATAATTTTTTATTAGAAAATTCTACGAGAATTTAATCATTGATTTTATGGGGAGAATTTTGTTATTTAACAAGATAATTGAATTCTTATGCAGAATTACTTAAAAATTTTTTGAAAATAATTGATTTCCTGAGACGAATTAAAAGTTATTTATAAAAATAATTGAATGATTGCAAAGAATTTTATTATTTTATTGAATAATTGAATGTTTCTTCGCTCGAACAATTAATTATAATTTTTACAAAAATTCTAGTAAATATTAGATAGAAATTATTATTAATTAATTAAATATTAAACTATTTTTTATCACTGTTTTTCTAAGGATATCAAATTGAAACAAAAAAAAAACAAATCAAAAGTGTTTCGAAGCAAAGTTTTTATTCGTTTTTTGTCTCAATTTGATATTATTATTAGAAAAACTGTGATTGCATTAATTTTTTCCTTTTTTGAATTTGGCGCCAATAAAATTGGCCTAGATGGCATGAAAGTTCTCTCACAAGCGGAATAAAGCGAATAGAGTACACGAATGATAATCGTAAGATAAAATTGTTTCGCTTCAATTATAAAAAATGAATATTATAAATTACAATAATAAATAAATTGTAAACAATTTGTATGACCCGTTTACAATAAATGAAATGAAATTATCAGATAAAATTTTTTCTTTATTTTTATTTCTTTTTAAAAAAAAAAATTATATATATATTTGAAAGAAGAGGAAATTTTCATCAATTTTGTTAATTGTAATGAGAGAGAAATTTGTGTTATTTTTTTTTCCTTTTTTTGCCCTATAAACGAGAATTGAGAGAAGAAAAATAAAATGGTGTGAAATTTTTGTAAATTTGACGCGGGAAAAAAAGAAAATATTCTTCAAGTTTTTTATATACAATATTTCCCGCTCAATATCCGGAGAGAAAATTTAAAGGATTTTCAAGAAAAGAGAGACTGTGCAAGAGATTTGTGAGTAGCTCCTGGCAATACTGTAATCGTTCCTATAAAATTGTTTTAATATCTTGAAAGCTTTCCTCCAGCTTTCGCGAAAAGAAACCCGAAGATTTTTCCGGAAAAAATTTTTTTTTTCTCCTCCGTAGTATTTTTACGTCGTGTATTATTATATAACATCTCTTTACACAATTTTGAAGTTTATAAGAAAAACAGACAAATTTTTATGAGAAATTTTTTTTATTAACGTTTAAAAAATATTTTTTTTTAATAAGTAATTTAAATTATGTACATATATTTATTGTAAAATAATTATAAATAAGAGAAATATTATAACTAAATAAATTTTTTATTTATTTATTTTATTTTTTATACTATTTTTTATATATTTTTATAGAAATGTATAAATTAAAAAATATGTATTAATTAATTAAAAAAAAATATTTATATAGAACGTAATTTTATGAATGGATATTTTTCTTTTGCAAACAAGTATAATAAACAGATCTAGATGAAAGTTGGATCTCGTAAAAGTTTCCAATAACTATAAAAATCGTACTTTTCTCTTGTGAACACGAATTTCTACTCGGATTTTTTTTTTCGAAAAATGACTTTCTCGTTTTTACAAACATTTATATATTTTTTTTTTGCGCGCGCGAATAATGTACTTCGACTAGTGTGCGGAAAGCTGAGAAACTTGAACGGAAAAAATATGACATTTTTTTCAATATATGCGCACATTAAACAATAAAAATATATAGTCGAATATTTTCAATATTTCAAAATGGATAACTCTTATATTTGAATGCTGTTTTTTTTTCTATTACGTTTTATAGTCTCTTAAAAAAATTATTCCAAGACTAAAGTTTCTACTCTTTTGATGTCAAATTTAAAAAAAAGGAAAATCAAAGAAGTGGAAAATTTTATATTTTTTTTTATGTATAAGAGAAAAAATACTAAGGGGTGAAAAATGTTTCTTTCAATTTTATATCCCTTTTTTTATTATCGATATGTTGAAGAGGAAATTTTGACAAAAAAGTTTCTAAAAATTATTCGGATAAAAGTATTTTTTTTATTTATTTATTTATTTACAAGATTTACAAGAATAAAAATAATATTGACTTGAAGGATTGATAATTATTTTCTTTAAATTTTATTATTTTTCTCTCAATTTAATATCGTGAGGAAAAAAATAATTTTTCATAACGCGGTGCAAAAAAGGGCACTTTTTTGCACCTTGTTATGAAAAATATCGTTCGTAACTAGTGCTAGCAGTTGCCAATTTTTGAACGAGCACTTCGCCTACAGTTTGTTCCAAAAAAAGGGCTCATTCAAAAATTGACAACTGCTCGCACTCGTTACGAAATATACTATTTTTTTAGTTTTAATACTGTTTGCGAAGAAATTCGTATTGCATTTTCTGTTTTTATCTTCAGAGAATAATATGAAATTAAAGGGGAAAAAATTAAACGAAAAATATAAAAAAA